AAAAAACACCTGAGAATTGACAAATTGAGCACACCGTGATTCGCGTCTACGTCGCGCAGGATTGGCGGTATCTTGTCTACGGTAGCGATTGGAGCACCACGTTGAAGGAGCACCATGCGTTGCTCGCTCGAATCACAGGGTCGTCATCATGCGTTTTGACGATTGCAGCACTCAGGGATGCTTGCGTATATATTCTGATTTGGTGTTGCAAGTCCAAACACCAAATGGTGTGGTCCTTCTTTTCATAAATGGCGTTGTTTTCTTTGAAGGAACCCTGCAAAGTTCGGTGTTGACCCCTCTTTCCACGTTTAAATTGGAAAGCACATCCAAGTTGCAGTGCTGTTTCCCTTTCTAACTATATATGTGTACCAATAAATTGTTGTACGTTTGTGTCACATGTCTCAGAAGGGCAAAAGCCATCAGAAGCCGATGGGTGCCCAGGGGCCCAGACCAATATAAACAGAAACAGTTTTCTTTCCGTAGATGCTCCATCGCCACCAACACCAACCCGTGCCAGGGGGCCTGTCAACCTTTCCGTCTTCACACATCATGGCATGCAAACTGCAAGGAGATGTAATGCACAGGAGCACACACATGATATTGGACGGAGAAATGGCATATTGAATGTACATGAGGGTAGGCATGCTAGACAAATTATTGACAAATAGATAGATGGACAGGGAAAACCGGAAAACCCCACCAGGTCACCAAACCAAACGCGACCGCGCCCCGTTGACCGCAGGACCTCCAGCGGCTGGGACCCGAGCCGCTGAGCTGCCGCGTGAGCGCGCGGCGGCACAGCCGGCAGCGCTGGCCGCAGGGTGTGGAGGAGCCGGTGGAGCGGCAAACGGAGGTAACAAGTGCCACGCTAGTAGTAACAGGTGCCTTACTAGTAGTAACAAAGAAGCTACTAGGAACAAGTGCCTTACTAGTAGTAACAATAAGAATTTAATTAGAATTGTAATTACTAGCAAAGGAATCTACTAGGACCTTTTCGCGCGCGCGCGCGGGGGGGGGGTTCTGGCCTTACAAGAAGCTACTAGTAAGAAGCTATTAGAAGCTATTAGAATTAAAATTAACAGTAAATTTAATAGCTTTCTTGTTACTACTAGTAAGGCACTTGTTTTTAATAGCTTCTTGTTACGACTAGTAAGGCACTTGTTTTTAATAGCTTCTTGTTACTACTAGTAAGGCACTTGTTTTTAATAGCTTCTTGTTACTACTAGTATGGCACTTGTTTTTAATAGCTTCTTGTTACTACTAGTAAGGCACTTGTTCCTAGTAGCTTTCTTGTTACTACTAGTAAGGCACTTGTTACTAGTAGTAAGGCACTTGTTTTTAATAACTTTCTTGTTACTACTAGTAAGGCACTTGTTACTACTAGTAAGGCACTTGTTTTTAATAGCTTTCTTGTTACTACTAGTAAGGCACTTGTTACTACTAGTAAGGCACTTGTTTTTAATAGCTTCTTGTTACTACTAGTATGGCACTTGTTTTTAATAGCTTCTTGTTACTACTAGTAAGGCACTTGTTCCTAGTAGCTTTCTTGTTACTACTAGTAAGGCACTTGTTACTAGTAGTAAGGCACTTGTTTTTAATAGCTTTCTTGTTACTACTAGTAAGGCACTTGTTTTTAATAGCTTCTTGTTACTACTAGTAAGGCACTTGTTTTTAGTAGCTTCTTGTTACTACTAGTAAGGCACTTGTTCCTAGTAGCTTTCTTGTTACTACTAGTAAGGCACTTGTTACTAGTAGTAAGGCACTTGTTTTTAATAGCTTCTTGTTACTACTAGCGATGCACTTGTTCCTAGTAGCTTCTTGTTACTACTAGCGATGCACTTGTTCCTAGTAGCTTCTTGTTACTACTAGCGATGCACTTGTTTTAATAGCTTCTTGTTACTACTAGCGATGCACTTGTTCCTAGTAGCTTCTTGTTACTACTAGTACGGCACTTGTTTCTAATTGCTTCTAGTTACTACTAGTAAGGCACTTGTTTCTAGTAGCTTCTAGTTACTACTAGTAAGGCACTGGTTTCTAATAGCTTCTTGTTACTACT